TAAACAGATAATCACAATTTCCAAAATTACCGAATCCTGGTATCCTATAGTGATGTCTGGTCATTGTTGTCATCCTGCCCGCCGTTGTTTACGTGACGCACTCAACCGCAGTGTAATTCGTTCGTCGTTGGTGGGAATATTCTCTATTTCCATATTATATCATAGCGTGTTGGATCTAGCACGTACGGTTGTCTCATTTAAGTTAGCGGTGTCACATTTAGCGCGCACGGACCCACTCGAATGTTCGCCATACGGGTTTCCCTTCTTCCGTTTTGGATGATGTTCAGAGCTCTGTTAACAGAATAGCTGTGGTGTGATTGGTTGCAGTGTTGTCGCATTGATCTCATAATTTTTCTTTTTTTTTTTTCTTCTTTTGTTTTATCATTATTGGTGAATTAGTAGAGTCGATTTGGCGCTATCAGTCTCAACTCGCCGAGTCCCGGAGAGTCCCGTTTTCAAAGCATCTTCGTGTAGTACGCTTGTTTATAGTCCTTATTACGTTCGTCGCTTGCTCCTGATTCGTTTCTCGTATTATCATAATTTAATATAATAATAATAGTAATTACTTGTAGTTGTCTTCTTTTATAGTCGTAATTATTTTGCTTTACTATTGCCGCCCCTGCCACGGGCTGGCACGAACGATTGCTTTGCACTGGCCGTACGCACGTCACTTAGTCACACTCGTGTGCTTGTGTTGGTGCTAATGATGGCCATGAACCGCCTTAAACTTCACGAGTTGTTTGGCTCGGAGGCAAGCGACAGGTCCTCGGCCTCGGCGTCGGGTGCGGGGCCCTCACGGAACTCTTTGTGTAGTGGCAATTGAAGGGGCATATCCTCGTCCAGGTCCTTGTCATCCTTTTCATTGTCCGAAGACGGCTCGGTGATCGTAGGCTGAGGTGACCGCGGGGATCGGGGAGACCTCGGTGATCGGGGGTCGCTCCCCGATGCTGGAGGGCTATCCGGTCCGCCCACTGAGCTGTCCATCGGTTCCTGGGAAAAAAAAATGAGAAAAAAACACAAGCGTAACGAGAGTTCAATTAGGTGGAACGACCCGATCAGATTTGTAATAAATCCCAATTAGAATCATGAATACACGGACTATAACGGGGCGGGTTTGTTGTAAGGGCTTTTCTGATAAGGAAACGTCCAGCTTTCCCGCAACAATGATACAGCATTTCGTGTGAACACATACATATCGTCTATATTTTGTATATTGTATCATAGGTACGAACCTGTTTGATACTCTGTTTGTCCGAGTGGCTGGTGTGGACGGAAGCGCCGTTCGACGTTGTCAGTAAGCTGAGAGGGCTAGGCGCACCCTTGTGGCCACTTGCAATACTCCCTGCATTTACGATATCGTGCCGGCCTAATTCCATCATGGACATCATCAGGCGCTCGGCATCACTTACAGCCGAAAGCGCGGACGAGGTGGGTGGCAGAGAAAGCAGAGGGGACCCTGATATCGAGGGAGAACCACCTGCTTGTATCGCCTGAAGAAAGCCTGATAAGGGGCTATCCAAGACTCCCTGCAACGGTAAAAAGAAGTTATGAGTAGGTTAGGAATGATTGTAAGAGTGGTGCAACCCGAAGCGCTTCGAAAATCAGCAGTAGTTGACTTGATGATTTTTTTTGACGTTACTTACATGAAGCGAGTTGAGGTCGCCGTAAATACTACTGTTCATTGTTGGACTCCGGGCTTGTCTGGAGGACGGGCCCCTCTGAGGGCCGCCTCCTGGGGACATCTGCTCGTCACCGGCTCTGCATGGAACGTACACTGGGTTAGAAAGTTCTCTCTGCTAGTCGTTTTCATTCCGCTAATTCAGAAAGTCAAAGAGATTTTTCTTCAACCCAAAAAGAAGCTAAGAAGAATTACTTGTACCCCTTGCCGTAACGACAATTTACTTATCATACCACTGCTTTCTGATTTTTTTTCTCTATTAGAGGCTAATGCTGGATTGTTGATATCACAGTACAGTGACCTTGCTACGATATCTAGTTGAATTTTATACAAGGCGTACAACTACTTTATGTCAGATCGGCTACGATCTGTCAGATTCACTATTTTTCTACGACGTCGCTAGCCGACACGTAGTATTTTGACGTCGTAAAAGCTACGACAGCTACAACCAGGTCGTACTAGCTACTACCTGTCTCTCTGCGAAACTACACAAACCTGACGAGGTCGGGGCCTCGGACTAGTGGCTGTGAACAGCTGGGAACATGGGTAGGTTTCAGGCACGACAGCGATATGGATGGGTGGTGAAGCAAGCATGCTTTTTACTGGCTCTACAGTAATAATTCTATAGCATATCTATAATATATGTACGGGAAATAACGTATGCTAATCCTGCAAAAGCGTCACTACACGTCATATATGGCAAGTCGACAACAGGGCATTACGTGTCTCAGTGCTACTGTCTCTACGTGTGCGGCAAATATATCTGGCCTCATCTCGCAGATATCTTAGACGTGTTGAATACGTGAATGTGTTACGACGTGTACCAGTATGCGTGAACGTGTACGAATTTTTCAGTAAATGAAAGAAGTTCCTAGAGGCCCACAGGTTCTAGGATGAACGCTTCGAAATGAATAACTCTTGAACTCTACAAAGAACTACCTCCAATAGTGCTACTGTGACTGGTTCCATTGTCACTACAAAGCAAATGCAACTTTGCATAATAACAATTGTAATACGTGTGTAATTTCACGATTCTACAAAATGCAATAAAAATAAACAGTAACTAAGTAAGTTTCCAAGGTGATTGGGTCATGTAATGATGGGGGCATGCATGAGTAGAGGATCGTACGATTCCATGAATACAGGGAACGGACAACTCTGTCGTAGATGCATGAAACATACGCCGGCATACGCAGCTTCATATGGTTGCTTGCTTTTTAAATGTTCGCGGGTTATAATTCATAGATGGTTAGCCGTTATCGTCGTCGATGCGTGCCCGCCTAATGCGAGGTTCTAGCGGTGGCCTAACGCGACCGCGCTTACAGCGAGGAGTCAATCGGCAATGCTCTCCTCGGCCAAGAAAGTTTCGTTCGTATCCAACAGGAACAGGAGTCAATAGACGAAGAATAGAATGTATTGAAAACATGAACGAACTCGATCCTATGGACCGCTCGATTAGACTTAATTTTATTGTCTTTATGCCTTACTCAGAGTTCCCTTCAGGGGGCCCGTCGTTCCGCGACCCTTCTACGACACCCTGCGGGTTGCTCTGGCCAAACCTCTTCGGTCGCCCGCGGTTGAGATGGCGCCTTTTGACAAATTCGTTGTCGTCCACCATCCAAAATGAGCCGAAATCGTCTTCATAGCGCACGAAGCATTTGTGCAGCGAAAGATTCGTACGAATGGCGTTCTGTGCATAGCGAATACGGCAGGTGTGAACAGTACCGAGTGATATCGAGAGAACGAAAATACATACATAAGACCTAATAGGCTTCACACAAAGGTTAGTGATGAAAGACGAAGTCAATGCAATCGAAAACTGTGAAATGAAAAACGTAACGAGCAATATTCCTATTTTTGTTGACCTATTTTTCGGGCAGACACCATCATAATCATCATCATCGTTATTCTTTTGCGCCTCCATCTTCCACGATCTCTGTATTACTGTATGTAGTGTGACTGCCATTGTAGACTAAGTAAGCCTATTGAAAGATACTAGCCTACCGAGTGCAGTACCCCGGTGGGAGTAGTAGGGTAAAGGAGGGGATTTCTCTGAAAAGCATGCCCGTCTGTCTTTTACTCGCCGCCATATGGAGAAAGATCGATGAAGAGACTATGTTTTGGAATAGATGTAAGTTTGAGTGTAGTTGTGCGTGTATATATATCTGCATGTACGTTTGTAGAGCGTCGCGTGTCTTGTGCGATCTGTTATCGTTCTTGTTCTGAGCCACAAGTCCGGGTCCCGACCCCGCCTCGTCCGTGCCTCCGTCCGCGCTGGACAGGGTGGATCTGAGGCGAAGTCTTACCCGGCGATCCGGTCCTGAAGACGCTGCGGTCTTCTTTTATAGAACTCGATTTCATCGACAGTCCAGACCGCCCCCTTAACGTTCTCTACGCGCATAAAGCATTTGTGAAGGCTTAAGTTGTGTCTCACCGCATTCTGTGGAGAGGAAACGCATTGTTTAACCTGTTCACGACGATCTCGGCGGGGAGTCAGTTTCGCATATCGCTAAATATAAATAACATTTCCATATATATATATATATATATATATATATATATATATATATATATACATATATATATGTATATATATAATTCGTTTTGCATATAACCAAGGAATATATAACGGAAAACAAAAGAAAGTGAAAACAAACGTGCCTTCCATGTTGCTCCACGTACCTTCCAAGTCGCAGCATTCCGACGGAAGTAGCAGAATGTATTCTGGAACCAGTTATAAATCTCGTTGAGAGTGAGCTGTTTGTCAGGCGACTCCATTATCGCCTGCCTAATCAGAGAGGCATACGTGAACGGAGGTCGAACGTCCGCCGACTTGTAGAACTCTCGGTTGCGTTGGATCTCTGCAAATACATTGAAAATATGACCAGACAAACGAGGAGCTATTATTCGACCAGTATTCTTTTGCCGGCTTTGTTATTAGCCGGCAATCAAAATCTGAAACGAATCGGTAACAGTACTTGCGTGTGCAGACAGCAGTCACGACTTTATAATTACGGCTATTGCTGTGTAGTCGAGTTTGACAAAAAAAGCATGATTTACGTCACTAGTAGGTACTATAGTAACATGCCTTGTACCTGCTAAGTTTCTCTTCACTACATGTATATAACTTGTTGACATTTGGACATGAGCTAAGGTTCCCTTTCCTTTAAGGATATTTGACAAAGGCACAAAATCTTAATGGAAATTATAATTACAAGCCTAACAGTTTTTTCTAGTAATGATTAGATACGTGGCATTGTTTATTATTTGTATGTGTAAATGTGGATGACTTTCTCTGTTCTCACGAATTGTGCATAGGGTCGTATGTGGTTGACGGGACTTGAAGTACCGGCTCTTGATCCCTTTCGACCAAAAGCTTGGACTTCCAGATCACCGCGTCAGCTACCATTTATGCACAATGTATTATATAATAGGTTGCACTCGCATGTAACAATTACCAAATCGGCGAGCTTACCTTCGGTGATATCCAAGTTAGCTCTCTCCGCGACCCTTCGCCGCATTGGGGAATCGGGAAATGGCTGTTGGTCGCTATACGGCAGCAGGGACAGCGAGCCTTTATCGCTGAGACGACGGCTGCCCTTTGCCGAGCTGGCCGTGGGTGGGGGCGGAAGGGGCGTGAGGGAGGAATGGGTCGTGGACAAAGCGGGTAGACCGAGGGGTGGTGGTGGGGCTTGATGGGACACGGGAGGGGCATGACCGAGGGGGGTGCCGTGCCCCGCACTGGGCGCCGGCAGAGGATAACGGAGTAGACTGGGCGGCAGGCCTTGCGGTGGAGGGGAGGGTGACACCGCGGCCTGGGTCTGCGGAGAGGAGGTGGCTGGCTTGGACTCGCTTGCGCACCGCAGTAGCTCCGAGCCGCCGCCGCCGCCACTTTGCAGGCTGCTGGCAGCTTGTTGTAAACCGACACTTGACCTGGCAGACGGCGAATGACTGAGATTGCCGGCTCCGCCATGGCTGCCGGCGCCGACGCTGTTTGAGCCAAGGCCGGCGGCGATCGTTGCCGATGCTGCTGACGATAGCATTGACGAGGACGTTAAGCCTGCTGCTGCTGCGGCGGCTGCTGCTGATGACATCGCCGATGATGATGATTTCGACTGGCCAAGATGCAGGTGCGCCATCATCGCCTCGAGTCGCGTCTTCTCTTTTTCGAGCTGCAGCTCGAGTTGGCTAACAACCTGCATCTGTACGCGTGCCTGTGCCGTCGAGCGGTCGTCGAGCTGGTGCTCCGTGTTCAGGTGCTTGCTGAAGGCTCCGAAGTCGGCACACTCCACCTCGCAGCCCGGCCATTTGCACACCCCATGACCATATAGGGGGTGGCTGGTCGCGTGGTTTAGGCCGAGCGTTAGGCCGGCAGACTCCTTTGACAGGGATCCGCCAGCTGCTGCGAGCGAAGGTGAAGTGCCGGCGAAGGTGAGGCTGAGGCTACTGCTCACGGTACTCACGGGGTTACTGGCACTGGAAGACTTCTCCTCCTTCCCTGACGACTGCGTCGCGGACGGGGCCTGGTACGGCGATCCGCTCAGGCTTCGCTGGTGTGCCCCGTCCGTCGGGGCCTGGGCACCATGGCCACTAGGTCCGACGCCATTGAGGGAGTGCTGCTGCAAAGATTGAGCCTGCGGTGTTGCCGCTCTGCTACTGTTCACTTGTTCACGACTGCTGTTGCTGTTGTTATTATTGTTACTGTTAACTGAAAGGCCATTCGCACTCGCTGCGAGCACGCTAGCAACGCTGCTACTGCTACTTGACGCGGAATGGCCGCGATTCGCGTCCCGCGAGCGCTCTTGTTGATGCTGCGAGTTCGTGGTGTGGCTGTGACTGGTTGGGCTTTGGGGGTTATTAGACGGACAGGCCTGGTGCGAGGAGGGTGGCACCAGGCCGCCAGCGCCGTTCGACGCGGCGGCAGAGGTGGGCGTCCTCCGATGGTGGGCGTCTCGTTCCCGTTGCTCGGTTCCCGACAATTGCCGACGCTCCCTGTCGCGAGAGCGATCGCGGTTATCACGGTGACCGCTGCTCAGCGACGATGAAAGCCGCGACTCATCCTTGTCATTGTCCTGGCCAAATGATTGCATCAGGCCAGGCATACCGAGCATGAAACTCCTATGCGCCATCTGTAGCTGCTGAACAATCTGTTGTTGTTGTTGGACGAGCTGTGATAACTGCAACTGTAACTTGCGATCGGGTTCGCAGGTACCTTCTCCATTGCTGTGTCCCTGGTTGGCCTGGCTGGCGGCCCCATTGCTCTGCTGCTGCTGCTGCTGTTGCTGCATTTGTTGAATGACTTGAGTCTGCTGTAGCATATTCAGTTGGAGCTGTTCTCCGAGATGCGGGTACATTTGTTCCAGCTGTTTAGTTTGCTGAAATCATGGATCGAGCAAGAATAGAGAAGAAAATAGATTTTTTGTATTATGAACATACCGACAAAAACTGAGAGAAGAAACAAAATAAATCTTATAAGCCCCGCAGCCGCCGCACCTAGTAGCACCAATCCGATATTTAGTCCCTAACATTCGTTAGAAAATGTTCATTTTTGATATACCAATTTTTCTGGCCTTTATATCTTTTTAAATATGCCTGCAATATTGATTTCCATACATTTGGGTTTGTGTGTCACATTATGCCAACGGTGTTGACTGCTCGAAGTTGAGGCGTTCGAGTCAATTACATCGGTGTGGTACATTGACACGATATAGCTAACCAGTGGGCGTACCATAGTATAAGTGGTACAGCGACTAGTTTTAACTGGGTTGCAGCAAAAAAGAGAGATATCAGAGCCTCATTTATGTGGATGCACGTACAGACGCAGACCGCTCAGCTCCGTTCACTTTTTTGCGTCTCTGATAAAAAATCAGCAAGTAGAAAAATCTGCCACTAGACCCCTGCGTGCCCGTTGTGATATCACGTTGGGTCTACGACACTTAATAATTGAATAGATGAGAAGAATAGTTGGCGCTTCCAGCTTACGCTCACTCTACGATGACAACAATCCGTTTAATAATGTCTATTGAAAGTTTGAAACGAATATCCTAACGCATGTATCTATCAAGTATCAGACATGGGCACAGAGGGTAGCAAGTCTAGGTAGGGTCAGATGCTTGTCGGGTGGAGTTTTTGAAGCAAACTTTTCCCCTACGAAGGCCTTAAGTTTTTCTTTTTAAAAGTAATTTATTTTGGGTCTATCCTGTTCCCTTTTCAATGTTCATTTACCATCACATATGTCCAGTCCCTGACAGCCACGTGTACACAGTTAGCGATGAACTAATGGCCCACAATCGTGACGCGGGTAAACAGTGAGTGATTTTGTGAGTGCGCAAACTTAACAAATCCAGCCACGAAAATTATTCGGAGCATGCTCGACCCAGGCAACGAACGTCTGCATATTTATTCCGCGCTGTTAGAACGCTCGACTGATTGCATATACGTTAACACGGCAGTCGGCATTGGCCGCGGTTACCATAACCAGCAGACCATATCTACTTGTACAACAGTAGAAGTAAATCAAATCGTTAACCTAACCCAGACTGTGGGACGCAATCGAAAAACCAAAAACAATACCCAACGCAACTGTGTTAGTCATATCACCAGTAACAGACAAACTATAGACATTTTTAATCCCAAGCGGACGCCAATGGATCAGAATATTCGATCGACTCAATCGGAACATTCATGCTCAAAAAATAAATAATTCCATGTTGATAATTTGGCCAGAACACGCCGCTCGCGTACATCTATCCATTCACTCGATGACTGGTTGCTTGTTACTTAAGCTTGATCTCGATATTTGCGGCATTATATCGGCTCAAAGACTATTCGACAGCTGTTAATGGTGGCACCTACCTGCTGCTGCAGGAGTTGTTGCACTGATTGCTGTTGGAGCAATTGGCTTAGCTGCTGAGGGTTGAGGCTGTTGAGGTTCTGAGCGAACATCTGCCGAACCTGATGCTGAGCAAGGGAGCTCAGGATACTCTGAGGAGATAACGGACGCTTCATACTGCCCGACAGGCCATTTAGCCCGTTGAGGCCGTTCAATGCGCCGAGACCGTTCAGACTTCCCTCGGCACCCTGCATCAGCGATGAGAGCACTGCTGACTTGTCAGCGCTCTCAGCCGAGCTTGCAGGCGACCACGCCTTTATGGCCAGGGGACTCTATAATTTGAAAACAACAACATCATACTGGTTAGTCTTATATATATTTTCCTTTCTACTACTACTACATCGTTGGTGCTAAGAATACGTGGACGACCGTAACTACGCTTAGTATGGATTGATATTTATGAGGATTCGTGCGTTTACCGCTATCCGAACTCTATTCTAAACATAATGAATACAATACCCGGTCACTATCGCTAGCCTACTCCGTCTTCGCGGAAATGCGAGCTGACAAACACTTACTTCCAGACCTGTTTTAATTTCGAACAAACAGGGCAAGTTTTTTTTGTTATAGCCCTCCTAAAACCTATGCTATTACACAGTGCTTGGGCGAGGTGAACATCTTTGCATAAACAGGGACATTACCGCGTTTCACCTCATTGTGTTCATGGCCGACAGTAAGTAGGACACGTGTCACTAACATACACTCATCGACTTAATGTCTGCTGTCCGACCGCATGTGGAACACAACTTTGAAAAATTTTTTATCCAACTCCGCTTTCGACTTTCAAGTACTCATATCCTTATGTTGCTACAGAGCTACACTTATCGATCAGATATCTCGCTTATTTAATAGAAGCTTACCATATCTTTCTTGTACCAGCCTATGCCGGTGGTCGACATAAATATGATAAGCAATTAACAGTCGCAGCGGCGAGTTCAAGCGGGATATATGGCCATGCATGTATCACTTGTTAGGAAAGCAAAAAGATCATTATCTCACTGCTACGTCTGATGTTTTGCAGCATCGTCTCTCTCTCGGTAAGCTTTATGACACCCATAGATCGTGCCATGTGAAGACCGAACATGGTCTTCCGTTCTAAAACAGAATATAGTTCCCACAGCTCGCGCTTTGTGCCTAAACAGCATATACTAGAACAAGAGCCAGCAGAATAGTCAAATTAATAGAATAGTAGGAGAAATCGCAAGCCTTAAATATTTTCAATCAGCTCAACCTTTCCACCACCACCACCACCACCCCCCTTACCACCCGCGTTCACACATCTGCCTAACGTTCACTCACGAGGGCCATAGTTCATCCCTGTCCTCTCTTCACCTTAGAGACTAGCACGCCGGACCATTTACCCTCTTGCCAAACCTCCGCGTATGCCAAACCCGAGTCTGGACCGCATGGACGAGATTTCGGAACGCTAGAAGCTTGTCTGTTGTATCAGTAATTTGTTTCAGGTCTGCACCGTCCTCATGGTCTCATTGTGTCCGCCGTCCCACCTGTCTATCCGAAGGAGTCAGTCCCCTATTGCTTGAGCTGAATCCACTAAAGCCTTTGTGCCCCACATCGCAAAGTGAAAATCGCATAGAGCACAGCAAATGGGCAGCCGTTCAACCGACGGACGTCCATCGTTTTATACCCTTTGCAAAAAAGAGACACCATTTCGGCATCCGTTCCTATTTACGGCTGGTTGTTGAATTGTGAAGTTGAGGCTGGAGGAAACCTTCTTTCCGCTAGGCGAAAGTACAAACAAGTTCTTACATAGGCTTCACGAGCTTGACAGTTGAGACAGCTGAAGTTACCTCAGATGCACCACCGGCCAACAAACTAAAAAAATAAAGAAAGATAGTGGCCAACGGTAATTTCCGTTTATAGATGAAGTCTTACCAAGCATCTGTTGGCCGAAGTTTCTTTACCCTGCCTGGCAACACAGCGAGCGGACGTACGCGCGCACGCACGCACGCACGCACGCACGTACGTACGTACTTATGCACGCAAATGGTGCGCGTATAGATAAATAGACAGAAATCAAATGTATGTGTACTATGCATTTGCCCCCCCCCCTCCCCCATTCCAACTTTTCTCTCGCTAATGGCACCGAGAAAAAATAAACAACGAAATGTTTGAAACGAATATATTTTGTGTGTTTAGCGAAATACGCTACATACACAAAACATATTTTCTTGTTCTATTATGGCTGCGGTTACCGACAAGAGCGTTTCAGTAGCGCGCTGGAGTCATTTTCCTGAACGTCATCTAGACTCATTTCTGGCCCCCCGACTGTGTCGACTGTCGTTCGGTCTACCATCGTCGTCGTTCTTGTGCTTTTTCTGTCATTGGCGGTATTCTTATTGTTGCTGCCGTTATAGCCGCGAGTCGTTCTTATTGTAAACGCGACTGTGGAAGTATATTTTTTTTTTTGTTGCGAGACAGTAAGAGAATGGGGTACGTACAACAAACAGCATTGGCCAATGCTATTGACGGTTGAGTCGCTGTTGTTATAAATACGACTTGGTCAGTATAATGATGTGTCTTGCAAACACAGATTGGACGGTTCTATTTTACCGGTTGGCATTCGTGAGCTAAGCGTAAACAATAAACGGCTCGAATAAAGTTCGTACAAACACAAAAACAACAACAACTAGGGCCAATAGCAAGCAACAGACGCTTTTTGCTATCAAAAATATAAGTAAACCGACAATGCTAGAAACGCTGTCAGCGACAACATCGACGCGGTAACTATAATGGCGGAGTAGTTGCGACAGAGAGACACAAAACCGGCCAACGAATAGATCAATGAACAGTAACGTAGTGCTTGCTGGTCGATCTTTTCCTCCTTATCCTCTTCCCTCCCCTCCCGTCCCCCGGATTCTGTTGCTGATGTTAAACGAAATCCATTTGCAGTATAGGACAACACCCCTTCTATATGTGTTATGGAATGACAATGGCTGGCGGCGCGCACGATAGAGCCGCCGTCGTTACCTGTTCGTTTAATTTGTTGCATTTCACCGCAGAAGCTCAACAAGTCAAGCGCTGGACGCTGTTAACTCCAGCACGTTATATTGTCGAGGAGTGATAGACGCGCGATATTTATTATATTATACATGTACACCCGCAATACAATAGGTGCGCGAAACGAAAGCGAGCTGATCACCGCAGTCTAGCTCTCCGTTATTGGTAAAGAAATAAGATTGACCTTGTCAGAGCATTCTGCCCCTGAGCCAGCCGCCAGCTAAACAATTGACTAACATGTTATTGTTGCTGACTGGCTAAATTGATTTATTTGCTATCTATTGTACACTCAGTGGCCTGCTACACTGCATATAACACACTGGTCATATAAAACGTAACGAAACTAGCTAATTCACAGATAGAATATATTTGACAAGCACGATCGCAATATTTGGCCTTTAAGATCGACTATCGAGCGGAAGTTACCTTAGGTGGCCAACCTCAAGACTTCTGTGACGACCTACAATTCGACAGCTTCATGTCTACAGTAAATTCTCATAGTCGGTGATGCTTAAATATATTGGTCTAGTTACGCATGGATTACTCATCGTAAGAGAATGTTCCGAGAAGACTCCGCACCGAAGATTCTACGTGCGGGAGAAGTAATCTTCATATCGAAAAGTACAGAAAACTATTTCGGCTAGCTGTGGCAGAAATCACAGTAACGGCGCCTTTTCTCAGCGGTCAAAAACGGTGCAATAGCGTTTTCATTATCGTAAAGGCTGAGGTCCGAGAGCTGCCTGCTCGTCATATCAGGCCATACTAACAGGTACAGGCAAGGCAGCATTATGAATCCGCTGTTGCTGGCCATTTGATGCAGCGCTATGATTAACGCTGCTGTTGAGATCAGGGCACACATGTGTATACGCGAGCGTATGCATCTGTGTAGGTGTACATACGTGTTTGTGAGTACTAATGACTGCCTCCACACTACATCTGCTCCGAAGTCCTTCCCTCTCTCGCTGTTCCTTTACCTCAATTCCATTGAGTCAGCAACAACAACAGAAGTGTTGATGATGGCTGTTCTATGTTCGGGCTTCGCTCTGCATTGATGCAAGGTAAGGTTCACGTGCAACACACACTGAAACATACTGGTGTATATATATACAACGTACGATATTGTGTAGCAGCACTATTGATAGTATTACTGACACATCGTTATAGATTGTTTCGCGTCCCCGCTCTATTTTCAACTGGCGCAGAGCTATTGTTTCGGCATCGGATCCCTATTGTCATCAGGGTAGTGTAGTGGCAGTTCTAGTTCAAGCTGTTGTAGAACTAGTAAAGTTTGCACTATTGTGGCTGTGATTGTTGCTATTCTGGCTTCTATTTCTGTTATTGTTACTGTTGCTACGGCTGCATTAGCATCGCTTGCCAACGCCCCCTGTGTCTTTCCCCTATTGGCGTGCATTTTTGCCCTTCTATCGATATCCACATATATATATATATTATTCATCTTATTCCTATCGCTATGCCTGTTGTTTTGCTATAGCTATTGTCGATGGTGACGGCAGTGGTGGCGGTAGCGTTAACTTTTTACTCGGCGTCATTTCTTCATTGCGCGGCTCGTCATCTTCGCGCTGTTCCGGTCTGCTCTTTGTCCGTATTCGTGAATAGTCCAATAGTTCCTCGTCGCTGTTGTGCACGCATATATACATACATCTCTTGGTTATTTTTCCGCTGCCGCTGCGCTCTCCCCTAAGTTTGTTGTTAGTTGCACTATTCTCGTTCTGTGATTACTGCCGCCTGCGGCAGCATCATAGGCGGCAGAGTCATCCCAGCGCAAGCATCCAGTATTTACCGATATTACCGACTCTGCTTCATTCAGCGTCACTGCCGGTTGCCCAGGTTATGGTTGAACCTGACGATGTCTCAATGGTTGTAGTGGCGGCAACGGCGGCAATGATTTTCCTCTGCTATTGTGACTCGCTGGCCGCTAACGCGCTTATGTTCGGAGTTAGAGTGACGTGAGTCCGTGCGTCGAGAGCTGTACGCGCATAGTTGGACGTTACTATGCCTTTGACTATTTATCTTAGCGGTTTTTTTTTTTTTTTTTCGAGCGTTTCTGGTGAGTTGTTTTCGTTATGGTCAGCGAAGACGCTCGGTCAGAACAGCCTGTGTGACCGACTGAAACCATTGAATAGTTATGTCAGCTCGCTGAAGCGCCAGCGCCAGCGACAGCGACGCCGGCGGCTCCTAGAAATGGCGGGCAGGCAAAAACCAGCCGCACCAATAGCTGCAGCGGCAATCACAG